CAAGATTAAATCAGTCTCACAAAAGAAGTTGGGTTTTTTTTTTTTTAAACCTTTTTCTGTTCTTTGAGACTGCTTTGAGGATTATTTCTTCATTGAGACTTACAGAAAATTGACCAGTAAAATTCTTTTAACAATCTGACCACTTCTACTCCCTCCTCCCCTTCAATTCCTTCTGATGCAGTGTCACTGTACCTGAAACATGCCAGAAACCTGTTTGCAAGGACATTCTTCTCTCTTTTCTCTGCCTGGAATGTTCTCCCAAATACCAACATGGCTGATTTCTTAGCTTCTGAACCTGCCTTCTCAGGTTACCTTGACCTTCAGCCTAAAATATCAGGCAAAATAATGTCTGTCTCAAATCACCAGCAGCCCACAGAGAGTCATTGCAAATAATCTGGTGGTTTCTCCACAAAGCTGATATACCTTTTGGGCCAGTAATGAATGGGGCAGCAAAAGGAGGACAGGAGTTTGTTTCTAGACTGTTGGAGCTCAGTTACTTTCTCTAGCACTTTTTATGTCCTGTTTCCTCAGAGAGAGTTTCTTTCACTATTGGGTTATTATTGAACTGGGTTAAAGAGCCATTTATTTAAGACAAAAAAAAATAATATCAGGAAAGCCCCTCCATCACACCCACTTTGCTTCTTTCCATGCCCATCCTATACTTCTATCTCTCTTAAACCCTGTCCGATTTTTTTCCAGTCTTTATCACCTTCTAAAATATAATGTAATTTTCATTTTTTCATAGTTTATTGTTGGGTCCCCTCACTAGAATTTCAGCTCCACAAAGACAATATACTTTTTTGTTGTGTTTTATTCATCAATGAGCCCAAGTGCCTAGGACAGTGTCTGATACATAGTAGGGTCTCAATAAGTATTTGTGGAATGAATGATTTGTTGAATGAATGTGCTACTGACCTTAGAGGAAACAGAGGGGATGGAATTTTTATAACCACCAATCTAATTTCCTAATTGGTTTTTGCTTTTTAACAGTTTAGATTTTACACAATGGGGAAAGGATTCCCTTTGATAAATGGTGTTGGGAAAATTTGTTATCCACATGCAAAAATGAAATTGACCCTTGTCCTATAGGAAACACAAAAATTAACGCAAAATGGATTAAAGACTTAAATGTAAGACATGAAACCATGAAACTCTTAGAAAAAACGCATGTTAAAAGCTTGTTAACATTGGTCTTGGCAATGATTCTTTTGGATTTGATATTAAAAGCTCAGGCAACAATGCAACAATAAATAAGTGGGACTACATCAAACTAAAACCTTCAGTAGCAGAGGAGAAAAATCAACAAAATGACCTATGGAATGTGAGAAAATATTTGTAAGCCATAAATCTGAAAAAAAGTTAATGTCCACAATATATAAGGAACTCATAAAACTTCAGTAACAATCTACCCATCCATCAATCAAATAAGATAACCCAATTCAAAATTGAACAAAAAATTTGAATAGCTTTCTTTCCAAAGAAAACATACAAGTGCACAACAGGTGTATGAAAAAATGCTCAATGTCACTGATCATCAGAGAAATGCATCCAAAACCACAATGGGCTATCACTTCACACCAGTTAAGATGGTTATTATAAAAAAGACAAGGAATAACAAGTGTTGGTAAGGGTTTGGAAAAAAGGGAACCCTTAAGTACTGTTGGTGGGAATGTGATTTGGTATAACCATTCTGAAAAACAGCGTGGAGTTCCCTCAAAAAGAACAATGCAGTATCTCAGAGATACCTGCAGTCCCATGTTCATTACAGTATTACTCACAATAGCCAAGATAGGGAAACAACCTCAGTGTATGTAGGTAGATGAATGGATAAAGAAAATGTGATATATATGTATATATCCACACACAACTGAATATGATCCAGTCATAAAAAAAAGGAAATCCTGCCATCTGTGACAAAGATGAATCTGGAGGATGTTATCCTAAGTGAAATAAGCCAGTCATAGACGAATATTGTATAATCTCCTTTATATGTGGAAACTGAAAAGGTTGAAATCATAGAACCAGAGAGTACAAAGATGATGCCAGGAGCTGGGGAGTGAGGGAAATGGGGAGATACTGGTCAAGCTCTCAGTTTTAAGATGAGTAACTTTTGGGGATTCAACATACAACATGGTGATTATAGTTAATAATACTGTTGTGTATACTTGAAATTTTGCTGTGATAGTAGATCTCAAGTGTTCTTGCCACACATGCAAGCATGGTGAACATGCAAAGTGATGAGTGTGTTAATTAACTTGGTGGTAATAATTTTACAATGCATACTTCTATTAAATCACCACATTGTATACCTTAAAAAATAAAGCTTATTATCATCCTAGAAAAAGATTTTGTTTTCCTTCATCAGTCAATTCTGGTGATTTATACTTTTTCATGATATTGTCACTCTTCTAAGTTGTGAAATTTATTGGCAATTGTTATTCAAACTAATTTCACAAGACTTTAAAAAGATCTTATATATAGTCATATCCTGCTTTTTTTCATTTCTGATTTGTCACCCCCACACCTGTATTCAGGATAGTCTGTCTTGTGATTATTTTCAAAGAATCAGCTTTAGTTTTGCTGATTATCTCTGTTGTTCTCTATAGTTGTTAACTTTATGCTTTTATCTATATTATTTCCTTTCTTCCTCATTCCTTTGGTTACTATTTTTCAAGCTTCTTGAATTGAATACTTAACTCATTTATTTTTAATAGCCCTGTTTTAAAAATGCTTTTACTACTATAATGGATCTCTAGTTCCACTCATGCTACATTCTGCAAGTGTTAGTATATAGTTCATTTATTGTCATTGAGTTCTATAAATATTTTATAATTCCATTGTGTCTTCCTCTTAAATCCATTAGTTATTCAGGAGTATATAAGGTTTGGGAGAAACTATCATATACTACTGATTCTTCATTTTTTATATCATGGACAGAAATCATGTAGTATATGATATCAATTATTTGAAATGTTTCAAGAATTATTTTATGGTCTAGTACTTATTCAAATTTTGACTATCAAATTTTAAATATATATTGTATTTCAAGTTTCTTTGTAATTCAGTCTTACCAATTCTGTTCTTCTTTTCTTTATTTCTGGTCTTTTGGTGAAAAAAAAATTTTTTTAAAGATTTATTTATTTGACAGACAGAGATCACAAGTAGGCAGAGAGGCAGGCAGAGAGAGAGGGAAGCAGACTCCCCACTAAGCAGAGAACCTGATGCGGGGCTCAATCCCAGGACCCTGAGATTATGACCTGAGCCGAAGGAAGAGGCTTTTACCAACTGAGCCACCCAGGTGCCCCTTTATGGTGAAAAATTTCTAATAGAAATGTAGAAAATCTGCCACAGTATTTTTTGTCAATTTCAGTTTTTAATTCTGTTAGTATTTGCCTTATAAATATTTAAGAGTTGCTGCAAAGAGCACCTAAGTTCTTTATTATTACATAGTTTTGTGTCTTTCACTTATGAATTAGTGTTCTTCCTCATCTCTACTAATGTTTTCCTTAAATTCTCTTTGACATAAAATGCCATAGAAATCTTATTTTAGTCAGCATTTTTCAATACATTTATCTCTATCCATTTATTTTCAGTCTTTCTGTGTCATTTTGTTTTAGAAAAATGTTTGTGTCTTAGTGATCTATTGTCTTAAATAACCTAACAATTTTTTTATTAATTGCAACTAAATATGTATATTTCCATTTATTTCTATCATTCCTTTCACATTTTTCCTTTTTTTCTTAACCAGACTTTTTACTTTATTTTTTCATTTTTTCTTTTCCAATTTAAATGTACTGTTTCCCCAACTTTTCCTGTTATCTTTAAATGTCTAGTATACATTCCTAACTATAACTCTTTTATTTGTTTATTTATTTATTTATTTATTTAATTTTTTCAGTGTTCCAAGATTCATTGTTTATGCAGCATACCCAGTGCTCCATGCAATACGTGCCCTCCTTAATACCCACCACCAGGCTAACCCATCGCCCCCCCGCCCCATCCCTTCCAAAACCCTGTTTGTTTCTCAGAGTCCATAACCTCTCATGCTTCGTCTCCCCCTCCAATTTACCCCAATTCACTATAACTTTTTAAAAATGATGTCTAAGTATGTATCTCCATCCTCCTCCAAACAAGGCAGAAACTTAGTATTTTTTACCTACGGAATAGCCCTCATTATTCTTATCATTGCAGTGCAGAATATTACAATATTCCATTTTTATCATAAAGTACTATTACATTTACCCTCAAATATTAATTAGGATTACTTATATATTTTACTGATTTATATGCTAGTCATTATTTCTTTTATCTTACTCTACTTCTGTGTTTGTTTTTCTTTTTACTAAAAAGCTTCAATTAATTGTAGTTTCTGTGAGACTCTGTGGTTGGAAAATTTCCTTTTGTATTTGTATGTATCAGCAAGTTCTTCTTTAATCTCAACTCGTATATAAAGGTTTGGCTAGACATGAAATTTTAGATTGATTATTATTTTTCTTCAGGTTACTTTTTTTTTTTTGCAAGAAGCTGAATATGTTTTTATTGAGCCTTTTAGTTTACAACATGAGGTAAAGGAAAGTCATTTCTCCTTAACCAGTATTTTACATAGCTGTAGTAAAATATTTCAAACTTTAGGGAATTATAATGGATTACATATATTAAAAGTTGGGGATTGGGTAAACAATATCTGAGCTCTTGAATTTTCCAGTTGACTCTTCCCTTACAATAGTAACCAGCTCTATAGAAGTTTCTTCAAGACAATTTTTTTTGTTTGTTTGTTTAATTTTTTTAATTTTTAAAATTTATTTTCAGCATAACAGTATTCATTGTTTTTGCACCACACCCAGTGCTCTATGCAATCTGTGCCCTCTCCAATACCCACCACCTGGTTCCCCCAACCTCCCACCCCCTGCCCCTTCAAAACCCTCAGATTGTTTTTCAGAGTCCATAGTCTCTCATGGTTTACCTCCCTTCCAATTGCACTGTTTTATTGTTGTTGATGTCATTATATCTGAAGCACTGCTATTTCAGTCAAAATCCACTAATTCTACTTCAAAAATGAGTTTTGCATTTGGTGGAATTTTGGCATCAGGCTGTCCTTTCTTTCCATAAGCCCATTCTGGTTCAATCTCTAGTCGAGCCTTTTCTCCTTTACTCATAGTTAAGACTGTTTCATCCCATCCTCTGATAACTTTGCCTATTCCAACCTTAAAACTTAAAGGCTTGGCATTTTTCTTCTTCTTTGAACTTGTTTGAATATTAGTATCAAAAACAGTCCCATCTTGTAGTGTTCCTGTATACCAGCAGTGAACAACATCACCCTTTTTGGGAAAGTTGGTTTTATCTCCTTTTTTAAGAACAGATTTTATATATTTTGGTGGACCCTTATCCAGAGTCTCTTCAGACTTGGTTTCTTTGGGTTTATCTTCATTAAGCTTCACATTTTTCACCTGCTCAGACACTTTACTTATACTTTCCGTACCCTTGAAATGCTTACTTTCAAAAAGATGGTTGTAGGCTATAACCAAATGGTCCTTGTTAGCTGTCTTGGCCAAATTCAGGTTACTTCTTTCAGATGTCCTTGTGTGCTGGCAACTAGGGTGGCTGATGTCTACTGTCACTCTATTTTTCCATTAAGTTTAAAGACTGTTCTCTGTGTTCTCTTTATCCGGGAGCTTCTGAAGTTTCACTAGGAAAAGTCTGGGCATGTATTTATTTTTATTCATCCTTGGAGTTTCCATCTCTCTTATTACATTATCAAAGTGATTTTGTACCTTGTTTAATTTTCCATTAGAGCTCTTAACAATCACAGTTATTTGAGAGTTCTTGTCTGATAATTCCCAAACTGAACCTATTGAAATTGGAATTCTGAAGTTTATTTTAATCTTAACTTTGCTTTTGGGATATTTTTGATGTATATAATCATGTACATAAATCACATGTAGCCCCTGTTATACCATAATTTTCAATGGTGGATAAAAGTATCTCTTTATATTATGGAAAAATATTTTTAAATAACTGTAACAATCTACTCAAAGGGACCTTCCTCATTCAAGAGATTATACCATGTTACCTTGTAAACTATCTTCAAGTTACTGTGTGCCAGAAAGCCAACCTCTAAATTTAGAATCTGAAAGTTTTCTCATGCCATTTGAAATTATGATGCTGTAAAAAATATTCCCAGATTTAGCCATTAAGTGTTTTAAATGCCTGATGGATAGAATTTATTGTGTGACAATCTCTGTTGAAAATAAAAACAAAAACAGTCATGTTTATGCAAATGTTCAAATGATAATTATAGGTTAGACACTAATATGAAAAACATAAATAACCTATAGTATTTTTAAATCTTTTGGATTTAGGACATATATATGATTAGAAAAGACATAATAGTATTTGTTCCAGTGTAAAGTTTTTAATGTAGAGTTATGAGTCTTTAAATATCTAGTAGAGTTTTTAATTTCCTAGCTAGTTCATATATCTTCATTATTGGATTCATAGGTCAGAGAATGGGGTGGGAGGATCCAAACTTGGAAGCTTTGAAAAAATTTTTAAGAATAATTCTTCTATAAGTACTTTTAGAAGGACATAAGGTATCTTAATGGTTAAAGTGATCACACACTTAAAATAATAGTTGGTACTTATTGAATGTTTTTTCTTTAAATGTGAATTATAACCAAGAGAAATGGTTGCTTTACATTACAGACAGACAATCTATAGAAATAGAAATGTTTCATTTGGCTGCTTTGATGACAGACCCAGAAAGGAGTGTTGAAGCTGGTGTAAGAGCCTGGGACTTTGGCAAGAATCCTCTCCCTTCCTATTTTAGGTCAATCTCTGCCTCTACAAACTCACTAAACCCTCTTCTGGTCCTCCTGGGATTACCAGTCTGTGACTTCCATGCCATATGTCTTCTCTCCTGAGTGGTACTTTTACCAGAATCATGGAAAATTCACTAACGAAAGCAAAAATAAGAAAAGGTGTATTGTATTTCAATCCTTTTGACCCTCTAGACTATTTAGTGGATTTCTGCCCTGGATGCATAAGGGGCATCGGCTAGCAATGCTCTTGCTAGACCATAAACTCTGTGTGGGGACACGTGGTCTCAGAATTCCTTGCTGTCTTTCTTTCCTTGTTTGCTCCCAGAAGCAGCTCAACAGTTAAGGTTGACAGGTTGGAATTCTGCTTTAGGCTTAGGAAGTCATCTTTGGGCAATTCTACTGTTGCAGGGCTATTTCAGGGGAAGGAAAGGGACAAAGGAAAGTGCTCTTTTGCCAAGTTCATTGTTCCAGGGTGAGAAGGCTAGAGGGAAGTGAAAAGGATGCTTTGCTCCTTAAGTGCCTGCCTTTCAGCACAAAGCAAACTACTGCTATTTCCTTTATAAGCCACTTTAGTAAAGATACATAATAGACATTATATATAATGCATGTAAAAAGTGAGGAAACCGAAAAGTTCTCTGACAGTAACACCTTACAACTTGATGCTAAAGAAAATATCCTTGTAAGAGGAACATGGCGCCTTTTGTAGAAATTTCTCCTTCGTTCCAAAAGTTGAACTGGCAGGCGTAGCATTTCATTCCATCTCATATAGTGACTGATTGCTCGGGGCATCATAGTCCTTTAAAAGTCATGCCTTTACTGCTTTTCAGTAATTGCATTCTGTGTGTGCAATGATCTGAAAGCTATTTGAGGGAAAAGAGCTTAATATTACATATATGTTAGAAAAAGGTGCCAAACCTCTGCCTCATTTCCTGATATTTGATGATTCCAGTGGTGCTGATTCAGTAATAACAGAGCCACATTGCTAATTTGTAGGACTCTGGTTTGTAATTTATACGGACTTTTATTTAAAAAGAAAAGTAAACCTATTTAAATCTTTCATTTGTGGTTAATTAGGTGATTGAGAAGGTCAATCAATGATTTATCAAATAAATTTCTAAACCACTGCAGTGTTTCTTGCAAAACATCTAGCAGTCAATAAATGAATTAAAGGAGAAGACATTTAATGCTGAACAGAGCATGCATTAAAATATAATAATCCAGGAAAATGCACCTTCTACACGAGGAGTAAACTGGCAGTTTGTGAGAGCTGAGGTTAAAAGTCCACAGGAAGAGTAACAGCAGAGGGATGTAGAGGCCGTACCAATAGGGGTACAGTTCCAATTAATTTATTGACATAATTAGCACATAGTTATTAATAACATTGCAGAAGCAGTTGGCAAGTGTGTACATATACACCATTTGAATGAAGTCAAAAGAACCCTGTACTTATCATAATTAAATTATTAGTTCTGGGAAAGCAACACAGACTATGGAGGCCATAGCAGCAGGCCAAAAGTCATGCATCCAGTTTAGTTTGTCACTAAAATAAAATGTCTAGAATTTTTATGTCTTATCAGGCTGAATCTATAGAGCAGAAATTATTATGACTGTCAGGATTGAGTGGTCCACTTATAACTTCACCATTCATGAAAACATGGACCAGATCACCTCATGGTTTATAAAAGAGAAACAGGGAAACATAAAAATAAAATTTTGTAAATGAAATCAGTCTCTTGGCCAAGCAAATTCTCCACTTTTATATCTTTGCTCCTGGATAAACATGTAAAAATGAGAGCGAAAAGAATTGAGTTTCAGATTTTCTAATGACTACACAGAAATAAATGCAAAGTGCAGGGAATAATCCCAACTATAGTTAAAATTATAGATTTTTTGAAACTTTCTCACCTCTTTCCTTTAATTATGTTTTTAATGCTATTTGCTTTAATCCTGCACTGCTTTTGTTCATCTGGAGAGAAGGATGCAGACTTTTAATCAGTGAGACGGATTTCATCCTAACATAGCTGTTATATATTGGCCTTGCTAAAGTCAATGAAACTTGTAAGTAAACAAACCCAAAAATTAAGAAAGAAAGAATATTCTTTAGGGAAAAAATCAGACTCTGGCAACTTTAACAACAACAACAAAAATGGAAGCATGCATTAAAAGAAGAATTCTTCAGCATAGGCTTCCTGCAGAGGGAAATGCTTTGTGGAACATTCTGGATGATATGGATCTGCATACAACTAGGTAACATTGTAAGTTGTAAGTGGGGGTGAGTGTTGGGGTGGGAGTGTTAGGTGTAGGTTCGAGTTTTCAAATCATGGCTATGGTTGTCTGGAAATCAGACCCATGTATTTGGAATGCCAGAAGTCCTAGCAGAGTATCTGTGGGATCAGGAAATTAAGAACTGACTTTCCTGAGGGGCCTCTTTGATTCTTAGTCTTTCTAGATCTTTGAGTGTCTGAAAAATCTATGTTACTTGTAGCAGAATTGATACATTTGTGCACAAATGCACAATGAGGAGACAAGCTTTAATAATAATAATCATGAGTATTTATTGTGCGCTGACCATTTGCCCAACATTTTTCTGAGCACTCTACCCATTTAATTAACCCATTTAATTCTCCCAGTAGCCCTATATATAAACATTATCTCCATTTTTTACAGATGAGAAAACTGAAGGAGAAATTAAGTTAATTGTCCAAGTTAAAACAGCTGGAAATGGTGAAGCTGAGACTTAAGTCTTCTGACTTTGGTCTGGACTCCTGAGTACTTAGCTATAATGCATTTCCAGTGATCTTGGAGACAAGATACCCCTTCTCAGTGTGGACATAGGAGTTGCTACTGCCCCTTTCCTAAATAATGATTAAATGCTATAAAGGGCCTTAAGAGGTCATTATAAGTATTGGTCAACTGTGGAGTGAAGGGGGACCTTTAGGACAATACAACTTCTTCTATCAAATACTGTCCTTCCTGTAACTTCATTGGCTCATTTGTTTGAATCTATGTCAACACAACCTCTTGGCCTGAAGCCACCAATGCATTTATAATGGTCTCACTCATGTTTGCTTCTGTTTAACCCCCTCCTGAAATTGTTTTCTGCATTTATCTGGACACTAGGGCCACTGTAAGAAAGTGCAGGAACCCATCTAGTATCTTGTGTCTCCAAGAGATAAATTCTACAGGCCACCTCCTCTCAAAGATATTAAAGGGCATTATCTGATAATTATCTAATACTGATAGGAGATATGGGGAAGTAGTACATGCCTGTCCTTATTGGGGATATGGAGCCCTGTAATCATCACAGGTCCTCCTTGCTGTGTACCCTGGTCAGCCAACCTCTTCATCAATGCAAGTCTGAATTTTGGGTCTTGAGAGCTGGCCAGTAGCAAGAAAGGCCCTTCTGTTTTGGTTCTACTTAATTATACTTGGGCCAGAACTGATGGGAGACAGTGAAATCACTGTACTGTTCTTTTACACATAGTCAAGGATCTTTTCTCTCTTCCTGACCTAGAAGGTATTCTCTATTTTATTAAAATCTCTGTATATATTTCTAGAATAGGGACTTGAAGCGGGATTTTCATTTATTGATTGTTTTTTTATTGATATATAATTTTTCTGCATTGAAAGTAGACATTTTAAGTGCAGTTTGTTTGCTTTGACAAATACATACATCTGTGCATCCACACCCCATCAATATAGTGAACGTTTATATTCCCCTTCTTGGACAATCCTGAACTCCTCCCCACAGGACACAACCACTATTCTGATTTCTTTTACCTTAGATTATTTATGTCTGTTCTAGAACTTTATATAGGTTAAATCACATATGGCTTCTCTTATTCACTATAATTTTTTTAGATTAATTCACATTTTTATAAGTTTATCAGTTGTTTGTCCCATCTTACTACTGCATGGTATTTCATTCATTGTTGATGGACATATGAATTATTTTCAATTTTGGCTGTTATGAATCTAGTGGATATTAACATTCTTATACAAGAATTTGGGGTCATGTATATTCATTTGTATGAGTGAGGTTGATGAGCCATACAGTAGTTGTTTTTGAAAGGTAGGTAGAACTTTTAAAAGTAGAAGGTGTAAAGAAAGATATTTCAGGGTAAGAGTAGGATTTGAGTAAATGTATACAGTGGCACTAAAGTGTCATCATCATAACAGGAACATGGCTGATGATGGAGGAAGAGACACAACTGTCTGGGTGTGGCTAATTCCCCATCTGAATTTGTTTCCTTGAGTAAGCTTTTATTCTTGCTGATTATTTTATTAATGACCCTAAATTTCATAGGTGTTCTGATTGCCCTGGAAAGACCACTGTGATTATGTTTATGATATGCTGTCACTGAAAGAAACATGCCCAGTAGGGTGCCTGGTCTTGATGGGCCCCCACTGATATAATTCTGGCTCTGGGACACACTCCAGAATAGGCTGGGATGTCTCTTACTTCTGGTAGGCAAATGACATGACTGCTCACACATTGTGAGTAGTGAGGTGTTAGTTACCATTATTTGGTGTGTGATGTGTTTTGATCTCTTTAAAGTGTGTTTGGAGTCTTCTATAAGAAAGAGCACTTTCTCATTGGTCATGGGCCTGCTTGGGGTGGGGAAAAAGAAAATGCCAGCCCTCAGACTTTCTGGAGCACTAGGAGACCCGAATACACTGCAAAGTGTCTTGGCCATAGAGTAGACCCCTGAAATAAGATAGGAGCTGCATTAGGCTGATGAGAAATGCATGCATGTTTTAAAGATTTTTTGTACACATTATTAGGTTGTGTTCCAGAAAAGCTTACCTAATTTGTACTCCTGTAGGCAGCAAATAGGAGATGGCCTTTTCCTCCAAACCTTGTGAACAATGAGTAATATTTATTGTTCATCACATACAAATATTACTCAAACTCTCGCTTTGTGGTTCTCAACATACAAATTGGTTCTGCTCTGTTTTGCTCTATTTTTAGTGGGTAGTTGGATGAATTTTTTTTCTCATTTTTCTTTCCCAATGCTAGGGGATCATTACATTCTCTAGGATGTTAGGGTTGCTTTATTGATTTCATATTCACCTCAATAGTCTTTTGATGTCATATCTTACTCCTTGGCCATTCATGATTCTGCTCTGGCATTCTTATCTTATAGAAGCTCAGTTTTGGTAACCCTTTGTTGATGCTGGAGGTCTTGAATAGTCTCTGAAGTGCCCAAACCTCAGATTCTCAGTCAAAGAACAAATTTTTAGCATTACTGTGTTGAGTAACTCTCTGCTCTTTAGGAATTGATTCATGGTGCTACAATAATATCTAACAAGGGGCACCTGGGTGGCTCAGTGGTTAAGCCTCTGCCTTTGGCTCAGGTCATGATCTCAGGGTCCTGGGATTGAGTCCTGCATCGGGCTCTCTGCTCTGCAGGGAGCCTGCTTCCTCCTCTCTCTCTCTCTGCTTGCCTCTCTGCCCACTTGTGATCTCTCTCTGTCAAATAAATAAAATCTTTAAAAAAAATAATATCTAATAAAATCAGAGCTAGAAAGTGCTTTCCTTCTCAAAAATAGCAAAAAAAGGATTGGATTCTGTGTTCAAAATTAAGGTTTGAGGATGTACTACAAGACTCCTGGTCAGTAGTTAGAGCCTGTGTATTTGTTTCCTAGGGCTGCCATATCCAAGTACTAAAACAGAGTGACTTCGTTTTAAGCACAAGTTTATTGTTTCACAGTTCTGGAGCCTCGAAGTCTGAAAGAACAACACAAGTTTATTGTATCATGGTTCTGGAGCCTAGAAGTCTGAAATCAAAGTGTCCACAGGGCCATGTAGCCTCTGAAATTTGTAGAGGAATCCTTTCCTTCTTCTTCCTAGTTTCTGGTGCTTTGCCCATAATCCTTGATGTTCCTTGGCTTGTAGCTGTGTCACTCCAACTTCTGGCTTCACCATCACATGACCTTGTCCTGTGTTTCTGTGTCTTCATGTGGCCATTTTCTTAAAAGGGTACTGGTCATAATGGATTAGGGGTCTGCCCTTGTTCTAGTACTACCTCATCTTACCTAAATATCTGCAATGGCCTCTTTCTAAATGAAGTCACAGTTTGAGGTTCTGGGGCTTAAGACTTCAATGCATCTTTGTTTAGAGGATGCAATTCAACCCATAGCATTGATACACTGAGTGGGATACAAGCCACACTCAGAATGGGCTCTTTCTCGGGTCATGTTTATAAATAAGAATACTGATATTGTCAGGGAGGTCTCCTGGGAAGAAAAAGGGATTGTTCAGGCAAACTATCTCTGTAGCTTTAGAGAAATTGCAGACCTGAAGTTAATTCTTGATTATCAGCCATGAATCTCTCATCAGTTTTTTTTTTCAGTCTAAACACTTGCTTCTAATTATGCCCCTTTGATGTTTGCACCTTTCAAATATCTTGAAACTAAGTTCATTTCCATTTCTCACACTTTCAACATTGTTAACACAAGCTGAACAAAATTTCCTTCTTCTAGGCCTTTCTGGTTAGTCAGATCCTCTAGCACTCCTATAATTAAAATATGTAAGCTGCTCTTTTCTTCAGTTTTCTCCTCAGCTGGCAGTTTTCCTAGCACTAAATATCTCACCATGTACCTCACATAGTGGGAATGAAGATGTGGCCCCCTGTATTATCTGTGAAGGGACTTCTGACACATTTAATTTCATCAGGAAGCCATCAGCAACCTGGTGTCCAACTGCTGCAGGAACCCAAAAGTTGTCTTCTTAGCTCTTCCTTGCATTGAATACTTTGTCTTTCCATCTCTTTCACAAACATAACATGGAAAGAAGCCCATGGTTTTTGCACCTTTTATATATGCTTTTTGGTGATTAAAACCCTAGGGAGTTGAGTTAGTGTAAATGTTAAAATATGTACCTAGAGTCCAGTAAGAGCTTTCTCTCTGTGTATTTTTTAAAAAGAGTTTCAGAGTTGTGAATAATGCTGGATTGAAAACTCTGGGAAGCCGAGGCCCTCTGATTATAGCTCCTGCAGTGATATTGTATATTTTCCCAAACTTGGCTGCATTAATGCTTCTACATCATTTCTAAGAAAGAGAAGAAAGCTTAACTCTCTTACAGGCCTTGGGAATTCTAGAAATTTACTGGACAGTGATTGTTAAAATATGGGTATATTTTAGCATGTCTTTTATTCTGATGCTTTGACTTCTTGGAATCTTGCTGACATTAGAAGGGACAGACTTCCCTCTCAAGGTTAACTCATCCTAGATATAGCAATCAACTTGCTATCGGGAACCAATCCAGAGTTCATACTTCCTTTATCAAGCTCTCACCCTATGAGCCACTATTCCCTGCCCTAATCACCCCAGAGCCAGGTATCAGATAACCAGAGACTGCCCTGATGTGCTGGAGCCTACTGAAATTACTCAAACTCACCCATCCTAAGTTTATGTAACCTGCTTACACTGCCTTGCCCATTTCTACCTATGAAAAACCACCATAAAGCATCTTTCCTTTATTTTCCTCTTGCTGTTTCTGCCTTCTGACCAACTCTGGTGCCCTGGATGGCATGCCTTACCTCCTGTTTCTAGGATCCATGATGTAAAAACTTATTCCTTCATGTGTCTGAATGTGTTATCATATCTGATTAAAATAAATCCCAGGTGCATTTTTAAAATTTTATTTATTTTTTAAAAGGTATTTATTTATTTATTTATTTATTTATTTGACAGAGAGAGAGAGTGATCACAAGTAGGCAGAGAGGCAGGCAGAGAGACAGGGGAAGCAGGCTCCCCGCTTAGCAGAGATCCCGATGTAGGGCTCGATCCCAGGACCCTGAGATCATGACCTGAGCTGAAGGCAGAGGCTTAACCCACTGAGCCACCCAGGCGCCCCTGCTATAGCTTCTTTTAATATTTCCTTTTATTTTGTTCTCCCTTGAAAATATTCATTCCAGGGCTAAGTGAGGCCAGCTAGGTACCAAAGGCACACATTTTTAAGGAGGTGCACACTGTCAGGATTGTTCAGGGGAGAGTGAGAACTTCTCTAAATTTTGCACCCTGGCTGTCCTGCTTATGTCCCATTATTCCTTACCCAGATTCTCACAACCACAAGAATCTAAGTCTCAGAAGTCTGGGCTTTGATTTTGCTGTGTGCTTTTATGGTTAGATAAATCATCATGTCTAACGGTCATCAGAATTATTCAGGAATTAAATTGAAACTGGACATGATTTTTACCCTCTAATACATCTTAGGCTAAAATTAATGACAAGTACTGGATATGTTGTTCATTCAAATATAGTCAGCGGGGTTACTTCTCTCATACGGATTTTGTGATCACGGCCGCAAACTCAAGACAGGAATTTCCTGGCATTAGTCTTAGTGGAAGAAATTTTTTGAGTAATAAAATCATACATGGTAAAGAGAAAGGTCAGCAGCACATGGTTCATCCCTCTCTTGTATGTGGCTTTATGTGGTACTTGAATTGTGGTGTCTTTTTTATTTTTATTATTTTTTTTAAGTTGATGGACTGTTAAGGGCAGAAGCCGTTCTTAGTCTTCTCTGTTTCCACAGTATCTAAGACGTACCAGACACTCAAAAAATACATTCAGGGAAAACTCTTTATTGAATAAAGCTATTTTTAAAGCATTTTAGAAGTATCTATTTGCCCAATAAGTATATAACTCTGTGAAACTGGTGACTACACTTTCTATCCAACAATATAGAGCTATAACTTACAGTTCTGTAGTGTAAGACTCACCTTTCCAAGGAAGTTATGAAGTCCTTGGAGACAAAAATACATATTTTCTGCTTGACATATATTTCCCAAATCATCTAACAAAGGGGTGTGAATTTATTGATTTTTACTTCACCTGGGTGAAGAAAAAAGGAACAATCTACAAAACTTTCAATTTGTGAATATTTAATTCAAAATTATTATGTATTTCACATTTCATATGGTGGGTATCAACTGAAAATATTGGATACCTCCCAATTTCCATTTTTAAACTAAATTGTAATCTTTGGGAGTCGTTGCTTTCCCATTATGCATTTCTTTTGTGTTGTATTTTTAAATTGAGTAAAAAAATATATGGTAAGGTAAATGACATAGTCCTAGGATTTCAATGTGATACTTGAACAAAAGCTATGATATTCACAAGATGCACTGGAGCATGTGTCTACTTATCTGGCTGTGCAAACTTATGAGCCTGATAACAATGGCAATGAAGCACTTTTTTACATGAGTGACTCTTCAGCGGTTCTACTAACAGCCATGAAAGGACACTTGCACTTGGAGATCACAGTTCTTGCATTGAATAAAACTGCATACTATTAGCTTCTCTACTGATCTGAATTCTGACCTGAATAAAACCTTCTCCCCTTATCAGCTTGGGCTAGGGTCTGACTCTTGCTCTTACTTCATTATATCACCTGCCATTGCCTCGCTCACCTGTGTATACTCATTATTTGTATAGAATTTTAAATATAATCTGCAGTTGCATCTCCTATCTTCGTCTTTTTTTTTTAAATGTTTTTTCTTTTATTGTGTCATGTTAGTCACCATACATCATTAGTTTTTAATGTAGTGTTCTAAGATTCATTGTTTATGTATAACACCCACGGCTCCATGCAATCCATTTCCTCCTTAATACCCATCACCAGGCTCACCCAACCCCCAACCTCTCCTCCTCTAAAACCTTCAGTTTGTTTCTCAGAGTCCACAGTCTCTCATGGTCCATCTCCCCCTCCAATTCCCCCCCACCCTTCACTTTTCCTTTCCTTCTCCTAATGTCCTCCATGTTATTTTTATGTTCTACAAGTAAGTGAAACCATATAATTGACTTTCTCTGCTTGACTTATTTCACTCAGCATAATCTCTTCCAGAATATCCTATCCTCCTCCTTGCCTCCATGTTCTAGCCAGACAGAGCAGTGATTCCTACACACAAACCCAGCTATAGGCTGTTCTGTGCACCTTTGTTTGATCTCCTGCCTTTGCCAGAAATGGCCCTTCCCTAGTCACCTTCACCTGACAGGTTCTTTTAGACCCGGGATAAATTCTCCTCCTCACTAATTCTACTTGACCCTAAAACCAGAGGGATTGTCTAGACCCTCTGGATATTGTGTGATTTGTGTAATACTGCTTCTGTGTTTCTTCCCCTGGTCTGAGATGCTGAGTGTTTCCTGTATTAAGGGCTAAGTCTTACATTTGTTTTCCCAGGAGTATGCAGAGAAGTGCTGAAACACGTGGGTATGCATTGGGTTGAAAATGTGGGTTGCTCTGTTCTAATTGTGTTGAGTTTAACCTGAGCCAAATAATGTGCTATAGTCCCAATCATGGTTTTTGGGCTTCACCTAGCCAGCATTTTGCCCACTTGTTTCACATAAAAGGGAGTGTAGTGTAGACCTTTGAGAATGGACTTTGGAATTATCCTGCCTGAGTCCACACCAAGGCTCTGCCACTCCCTCGTTCAGTGCCTTTGGGCAAGTTACTTAATCTCTCTGAACTTCAGTTTCCTGACCCATAGAATCTGGAGAGCAATAGTATTCATCCATTATTATTCTTTATGTTGCCTATTGCCTTGGTATTTTAAGGTGAAAAAATACTAATTATGGAAAATCATTACACTCAAACATACACTTTCTCTTTTGCATTTCAAACATAGATATCACTATTTCTCCATCTAGGGATTCATTCTATGCTTTTCAGGATGTAAGCCAATTTATTTCTGGACTCACAGTGTCATGACTCCAATTTAAATTAAAAAAAAAACCAGCTTCTACTTTCTTTATTGTACAGACTTTATAACTAGGATCCTCCCCTTTTCTTCCAGGTCTTTCTGCCTTCTCTGGTACTCTGCCTGTGCCTTCCAAAATCTCTCTTTCCTGATGCCAGGTCCTTTTCTGAGTAAGGAGACTCTATTTGGATGGTTGAACCTTATAATCCATGTTGGAGCCAACTAAAATGTAAAAGGAAACACAGAGGTGATGAGGTTTCACCTGGACAAGAAATCAGTGGAGTTACTCCAGGCAGAAAGAGCAGAGAGAATAAATTTTAACGGTGGGAGGGAGGAGTATCCCTCAAGATATTATCCATAGTTAAGTTTAACTTCTGTCTACTTTCATTTCCTTGTGTCAGCTTTTTGGGACTCTCACATTGTTAGCCTTCTCTATCTCTGATATGTTTATCATGCTTTTCAAAGGAAAAAGATATGCCTCCTAACTGGGTAACATATTGTAGTAGTTAAGACCATACACTTTGGAGCTAAATGCTCACTATGCCATTTCCTTGTGAGGTAGTCTTAGACAAACTTACTAAACCACTTTGTACCACAGTTTTTCAGTCTCTAAGATGGGGAGAAGAAATAATGGTATCCTCCTTACAGGATATGAGAGCTAAAGTATGGAAAGCATTTAAAACTACCTGGGAGGTAACAAGTGTCACTTTGCTATTATTACCACTTGAGCTCACACGTCTAGCAATGCAAAGCACCAAGTGAGTGGGCAGATCTATTTTCTGCCCTTTAAATTTTAGCTTTAAGCCTGACTGTCATTCCCTAGAATTAAGTCAGACCATCCCAGGCATCTGTCCTGAAGTCTGTCTTTCATTTAATTACATGTCTTGTTGATTTCCCTCAATTGATTTCTTGACTCCCATTCATGTACCTCTTGCCCTTGGCACACAGCATCTTCCATTCAAATACTTGTTAATTAATCTTGGATATTCCTTAGCCTCTCCTTACCTCTCAACCTAGATCATCCTGTGATGAGAAAGGAGGGTTTGATGCAAATTGCAAGTGACAAGGTGTACCGAAGTGGACATTTATTGACTCTCACAAACTGTGCACACTCATTCAAATAATTAACATTCATAGTCCACACACATGGGTGGCCAAATCTCCCAGGCTAGGTGATGAGGAGAGGGCTTTGGTTTGATGGGGAGCTTTTCCTCTGAAATATTCTACTGTTGCTGTCCTTCTATGTTAGTAATCTTATTCCCATGATGGCAGCTTACTAGTTTTCCAAATATAAAAAGAAATGTGTGCTCAAAACATACCTTCAGACACCTAATCTGGGTCAAGTCTAGTGGCCTCCTGTGGGAAAATGCTCACTGTCACAACCTGTACTCAGAAGGACAATGCCAGTTCTCTGTCTCTTTTGCAGGGATTCTGAGTACAGGCTGGATGCAGGAAAGGAATGGAGCTGCTTTGTAAGCCTGAGATATTAGTCCAAAGGCAATCCCATTAAGCAGTGTCCAGGAACGATCCCAGAGTTAAGAATTAGCTGGTGCAAAGTGACCAAGAAGAGTGCAAGAGATTGAGTGGTGGATGCAAACTAAAGTAGACAGATTCAGAAAGCAGGTAGAGGAACCAGCTATAATTATCTTAGATTCTAGAACCTATAAATGTTCCAACCACAGGATGGAAAGAAAGTTAATAAATACACTGAGATACTTGTTTCTCTTCTCTTGGTCTTCCCACTGGGTCTCTGTGTAAAGCAAATAAATTCACCATATACACTTATAGATTTTTTTCAGTAAAATGAGTAAACTTTATTCTGTAAAAGGATAATGTATTTTTTTTAATAGATTTGAATCCT